TTTTTCACCCATTTGCCATCACTCCTTCGTAGGAGAGAGGTAGCACTGAGTCGCAGAGCTCCTGGGGGGAACAGGCATTTCTTTCTGCTTTGTAAATGACTAATTGTGAGGGGAAAAGCCTCCCTCCCAGCTCTGAGACTTTAGAACATTATTTTGTGTTTCAGTACTTAGAAATGTTGGTTGTTTCCATGTTAAAAGTTCCAGTTCTGGCTGACTTTGGCCATCTCTTCCTGACACTTTCCCCGGCAATGTCCTTCTACCATGTGCAATCCCTGTGAGCACATGAGCTCTGAGGGTGCTGCATGTTCCCGCCTTCAGCTGCCAAAGCTGGAATCCATGTCCAAACAGTTACTTGTAAAATAAAGTCCCTTTCTTTTGGATACCAAGAGTTTTAAAAAATAAACTCCCTTTCTTGTTGGATATCAAGAGTTGTAAAAAATAAAGTCCCTTTCTCGTTGGATATCAGGAGTTTGTGAAAGAGTAAATTTGTATCTTGTGGGTGGAAATGCAGCAGTATGGGGCACAGACTGCCCTAGGAATGTGGGGCTCCTTTTTCCCCTCTGAGGGTGTTGGGGCAGGAGCAGCACTGTCCTGTAGGTGTAGGTGGGAAACAGGAGTTTCTGGCTTAGATTTCTGTGGAGTAAGGGCAGAGGAGATAGAGGGGCATTTTCTAAACTTAGTTTTAGGATTCTCTGGCTATTTTCCAGCAGAGCCATGGCTGGGAGAACTCTGTCTGGGAACACCTGCTTCCCCCTCTGTCCTTCAGTCACAGGTGCTGCACAGAGTGTCCCTTGTCCCCCTGGCTGTGGCCATGCATTTCCCTCTCTGCCTGTAAATCCTTTCCCTGGGGCTGGAGCAGCCCTGGGCAGCAGGAGCACTGAGGCAGAGAGGCTCAATGTGGGCCAGTAATGGCCCATGTGAGACAATGCCAGTTGGTTGTGCCCTATTGGAAGGAGCTGTGTCCAGTTATGCCCTTCTCCAGGCTGGGCCCTGGGCAGCAGAGTGTCCCAGAGCTCCTGCTCCACATCAGGATCACCTTGAGCCGTGGAGCCTGTGCCGTGCTCCTCCTGGCACTGCAGAGCAGTTAATGATTACCCCCCAGCCACCTCGTCCTCCTCTGCCCTGCCCGGCAGGAGCAAGCGACGGAGCCCAGGGAGCACGAGGATGCTGCTGCTGCTGCTCTTGGCACTGCCAGGCCCCGCTGGCTGCCCCCGCACGGAGCCCCTGAGCGGGTCCAGCCCGGAGCCGCTGTTCCGCGGGGCCGATCGCTACAACTTCGCCGTCGTCATCCCCGGCGGCGCCGTGGAGTGCTTCTGGCAGTTCTCGCACCAGGGCGGCAACTTCTTCTTCAGCTACGAGGTGAGTCTTGGGAGACGTGTCCTCGAAAGCTGCTGACATAGTCAGGGCATGGCTGTGCTGGATCAGTCGCATGTAGCAGGTCCTGTGGCACACCACCCCTCAGGGCTGTGCCTTTTCTATGCAATATCATGGAATAGTTTGGGTGGGAAGGGACCTTAAAGCTCATCCCATTCCACCCCGTGCCATGGGCAGTTCCACCTTCCACTAGATCAGGTTGCTCCAAGCCCCATCCAACCTGACCTTGGACACTTCCAGGGATGGGGCAGCCACAGCTTCTCTGGGCAGCCTTTGGCCTGCCAAGGCCTCACTATCCTCACAGGAAAGAATTTCTTCCCAATATCTAATCTAATCTCTATCCATCATCAATCCCATGTATTTTTCTCAATAGCTGGTTTAAAACCACGAAGTGGTGCTGGGAGCTCTGGACATGGTGCCTGAGCACCCCGAGCTCACTCGCAGAGAGCTGTGGGGTGTCCTGGCACTGTGGGGAGCTCTGCCCTTCGCTGTCTGGCCGGACGCTGTGGCACAAGCTGAAGGTCTCAGCACAGTGTGTCCCCATGCTCTGTCCCCTTCCTGCAGGGAAACTCCAGCCCTTTTATCTCCTGTTTACACTAGGTTGGCTGAAGGAGAGCCAGGGCATGGCTGTGCCTGGAGCTGGCACCTTCCCCTCTGCTCTGCACTTGGCAGAGCAGCCCCCCAGGAACATGGCCTTGGGGCTCAGCACAGCTCCATCCCCAACACACCAGTGGCCCACAAATTCCCTTAGGGTGTTCTCTGCCTCCAGGTCCAGCGGGCAACGGGGATCGGCAACACCAGGAACATCTTGGTCACGGCGAGTGACCCCAATGGCTTCCGGCTTGGAATCTCCCAGGATGTGAGAGGGCAGATCAACTTCCTCACCAAGGACACAGGTTCCCCCCTGTCCTGGCCCCTGCAGCAGCTCCAAGCTTTCCTGAGTGCTGATTGCTCCCAGACGGGATGGATGAGGGTCGAGCACTGGGGATGTGTCTGCCTGGTGCCCTTCTACCCATGGACCAACAACTAACAACCCTCATTTCTCTCTGCAGGTTTCTACGAGCTGTGCCTGGACAACCAGCAAAACCACTTTGGCTTCATGCAGGTGTATCTCAACTTTGGTGTCTACTACGACGACTTCAACATGGAACACAAGCAGCCTGTGGAGAAGAAGGAGCTGAATGACACGCTGGAGGCAATCACGGTGAGGGTCAGGGTGGCCATGGGGTGTCCCAGCACAGGGGTAATGGGCACGTCCTGCCCAGGGGACCGAGAAGGGTGTTTGCTCTGGCTGAGCTGCTGCTGAATTCAGCACTGAGCCCAGCAGGCAGCTCTGAGCGCGGTTCTGCCTCTCCTGCAGATCAGCATCCAGAGGCTGCAGATCCACACCTTCCACATGTGGCGTTTCTACAACTTTGCCCGGATGCGAAAAGGGGCGGACTCCTTCCTTCTGGAGTCCAACTACAACTACGTCAACTGGTGGTCGATGGCCCAGAGCTGTGTCATCGTCCTCTCCGGGGTGCTGCAGCTCTACTTCCTCAAGCGCCTCTTCCATACACAAACCTCTGGCAGCCAGAAGTGCTAGAACAGGGCAGGGCTGTGGCTGCCAGTGCCTGGTGACCCCGCTGTGGAGTGGGAGGGAAGGCCAGATCCTGCTTCCAGGAAGAGCTTGGAGAGTTCCCCTCACTCCTGCCTCCAGCTCTAGCCCTGAAATCACTCCCAGAGAAGCTAAGCACCACACTGTCACCTGAACTTTGTGTGGCAGAAGTGTTTGTCACATCCCTGCCCATCATTAGTGTCCCACTGGGCCTTTTCTACCAGACTCCCAATAAAGGAACCTCTGGCACATTCTGGGAAACGATCACTGCCTGTTGCTGCTGTCCAGCTTCTGTGAGCCCAGGGGCAGTTGCCTGCCCATCTCCCCCTCCCTGAACCTCAGCCCAGGGCTGTAAGCTTCCTCCTGAGATTCCCCCTGGCCTCATCCATCCCCCAAACATGTCGCTTCCCCTCTCTAGAGTTGCACCCCAGTGCACTGTGCTGCCCCAGGAGAGTAGAGAACCGCAGGAGGGGCAAAGGTTGAACCCCCTGAGGCTCCGCACCAGACAACAGGCACTGGGAAAAGGAAGAGGCTTTAGCTTTATGTGACAAGGCTGGTGCAGAGGCACCTTCCCCCATGCTGGCAGCAGCCCCCCCAGGGCTGTGGGGCTGTGTACTGGCAGCTCCCCCCCTCTCCATCCCATTTGGGGTGGGCTCCCTGTGGCTCCCCACACCCACAGTCCAGGACAAGGTCCATACTGCTCAGGAACACTTGCAGGGCATGCAGGTCCCTTCAGGTCCCTGGAATCCTTTAGGTCAGCGTGTCCTCATTCCGCACATACTCTCCAACATCAGCTTGGTGGAACACCACGATGGCCAAGGGATCCACCTTCCGGCACTCCTGTGTGGACTTGGCAGCCACCCCAAAGCCCTGGCAGGATAAAGGGGGGTGAGAGAGAGTTTTCCCACCCTGTACCCACCCCACAGCCGTGGCAGGCACCGGGTGCTCACCAGCGGGACGTCGGCCATGGAATACACCACCACGCCCTGGTACTGCGCCGTGTTCTCCGTGATGCGGCCCAGCCCCGACTTCAGCACATGGTTCCCATAGAGGAAGGATTGCTCTGAGCCAGGCTTCACCCACACCTTGTACTGGAAGAGAGGGCAGAGTGGTGAGGGGCTGGGGGCTGCCGGGGGGGGCTGGCACGGGCTGGGGGTGGCTGGAGGGGCTGTGTCCCACCTTGGCATAGGGTGCAAGGAAGTCCAGGGCCGTGACACTGAGCCGGAATTTCTGGGACTTGGTGAACTTCCCGAAGCAGGTGCCTGGGGCTACCAGGCTGTCCCGGGGGATGCTGGCCGCCAGCTTCAGCAACTTCTCACTGCGGGAGCAGGGTAATGCTGAGGGGCTGCGGGGCCGCCGCCCCGCGCGGGCTGCCCCCGCGCCCCCGGGGCTCACCTGAGGTAGTACACGCGGTCCCGGTGCAGGCGAAAGCAGTAGGTGCCATCGGGCCGGTCCACCAGCAGCTGGATGTTCTCACCGATGCTGCGGGGACGGACCCCATGAGCACGGCCCGACTCCGGCCCCTCCTGCCACGGCCCCTCCGGTCCCCGGTGCCCGTTCCCTCCCCGTGCCCGGCCCCCCCAGGTTCCAGCCCTCCCGGTCCCCAGGTCAGTCCAGGTCCCGCCCCTCCCATTCCCTCGCCGGTCCGCTGTACCCATCCCACCCGATCCCCATCCCCTTTCGGTGCCTGGTCCCGCCCGATACCCGGTGCCCATCCCCTCCTCGGTCCCCGCCGGTGTCCATCCCGTCCCCGAGCCCGGTCACGGGCCCAGCCCTCCCAGTCCCCGGTCCAGCCAACCCATCCCTCCCGGTCCCCGTGTCGCTCCCGGTCCCAGCGGCCCATCCCTCCCGGTCCCTCCCCGGTCCACCCCTCCCGGTGTCCCGGTCCCTCACTATTTCCCGAGCTTCTCGAACACCGCCCGCGTCTCCGCCTCCGTGAGCGGCCGCATCTCCCGCCGGGCGCACGCGGGGCGGCGGGGCCGGAAGGGCCGTGCCCGGAACCGGTGGTGACGTGGCGGGGCCGGCGGCGATGGCGGCGGCGGCGGAGGAGGCGCGGCTGCTGGCCTGGCTGCGCGGCCCGGCCGCGGGGCCCGCCGGCCCCGAGCTCGCCGCCTACGTGTCGGAGCTGGCGGCGCTGGGGCTGGCGGAGCTGGGCCGGGAGCCGGCGCGGCTCGCGGCGGAGCGGGAGCGGGTCGGGGCCGAGACGCGCCGCCTCGCCTTCGAGCACTACCGCGCCTTCATCCGCTCCGCGGAGTGCACCGGCCGCGCCGGCCGCGGCTTTGGCGGCATCGAGAGCCGCCTCGGCAGCCTGCTGGAGCGGCTGCCCGCGCTGCAGGACGCCTGCCGGTGCGGGACGGGCATCGGGGGGGACGGGAGGACCGGGGCGGGGAAGGCGCGGGTGTAAATGGGGACAGGAGGGACCAGGGATGGGATGAGGCTGGGGCAGGGTCTGCGGGAGTAGGAGCGGCCCTGGGCAGGGGAGGGTGGGTGGGGGGCTGCGAGGGATCCCGTGCTGAGCCCAGTAAGGGCCGGGACTGGGCTGGGCTGGAGGCAGTGCTGGGGGGCCCCTGGGCAGCTCTGGGAGCGGCTGGTGTGGGTGGGAGGGTCCCGAGGTCCACCCGCTGCAGGGAGGACCCTCCTGCTGATGCCATGTCGACCCCCAGGACCTTCATGCGCGATGCTGAGGCGATCGCCTGCAGCCGGCGGATGAACAGCCTGACCCTGAACCGGCACACGGAGATCCTGGAGATCCTGGAGATCCCGCAGCTCATGGACACCTGTGTCCGCAATGGCTACTACGAGGAGGCACTGGAGCTTGCAGCCTACGTGCGCCGGCTGGAGAGGAAGCACAGCAGCATCCCTGTGATCCAGGTAAGCCCCACTCTGACCTGCCCCATAATCCAGGTGGGCCCTGTACTGTTCCTGCCCCAAGGTCCACGTAAGCCCCACTCTGCCCTACGCCAGTGCCCCCTCAGTGCTCTCTCCCTTCGCAGGGCATCGTGGAGGAGGTGCGCCAGTCTGCCCAGCTGATGCTGAACCAGCTGATCCAGCAGCTCCGCACCAACATCCCGCTGCCGGCCTGCCTGCGCGTCATCGGCTTCCTGCGGCGCATGGACGTGCTCACCGAGGCTGAGCTGCGCGTCAAGTTCCTGCAGGCGCGTGACGCGTGGCTGCGCTCCATCCAGGCCTCCATCCCTGACCACGACCCCTACGTGCACATCACCAAGACCATCGAGGCCTGCCGGGTGCACCTTTTCGACATCATCACCCAGTACCGCGCCATCTTCTCGGACGAGGAGCCACTGGTGCCAGCCGAGGGCACGGTGCCTGCCGAGGGGGCCATCTTCCACGGCTGGGTGCTCCAGAAGGTCTCTGAGTTCCTGCAGACACTGGAGCGCGACCTGGACCGTGGGGTCGGCAGCCGGCTGGACTCGCTGCTGGGGCAGTGCATGTACTTTGGGCTGTCCTTCAGCAGGGTGGGCGCGGATTTCCGCGGGCAGCTGGCCCCCCTCTTCCAGCGTGTGGCTGCTGATACCTTTAGGAAGGCAGTGGAGGAGGCAGTGGAGAAATTCCGGGAGGAGATGAATTCCTACACACTGATCTCTGCGCCAGCCGTGCTGGGGGGTGGCGCGGCAGTGCTGGTGCCCACGGCCCAGCCCGGGACACTGCAGCCCCCCATGGTGCTGCTGGACTTCCCTCCCCTTGCCTGTTTCCTCAATGGCCTCCTCGTTGCCTTCAACGACCTGCGGCTCTGCTGCCCCATCGCCCTGGCACAGGATGTCACTGCCTGTCTGGACAGTGCCCTTGGGGAGGTGAGTCTGGGGGATGGTGCTGGGACTTGTGCTGGGAGAACACGGGATGGGTTTGTCCTGGCCTGAGCGGGTTGGAAAAGCCTCTGAGATCGTCGAATCCAACCATTCCCCCAGCACTGCCAAGGCCACCACTAACCCATGTCCCCAGGTGCCACATCCGCATGGCTTTTAAAACCCCCCCAGAGCCAGCACAGGGGATGGGCACTGCACTGGTCCTGCCACACTGTGGCTGGTACAATCCAGGTGCCATTGTCCTTCTTGCCCACCTGGGCTCATGTTCAGCCACTGTCACTCCCAGGTGCCACCTTTGCCCCTCTCCCCAGGTGACCAAAACCATCCTGGCCTTCCACCGTGCGGAGGAGGCAGCTTTCAGTGGGCGGGAGCAGGAGCTCTTTGCCCAGTTCTGCACGGCCTTCCTGGAGGACCTGCTGCCTTACCTGAACCGCTGCCTCCAAGTGCTTTTTCCTCCATCGCAGATCGCACAGGCACTGGGTGAGATCCTGGGCTTTGGTTTTCATTATGGGGTGGTAGCTCTGTTCCCATCCATGGTTTTCCCCTGCAACATTCAGTGGGCCCTGCCCTGCTGCTGCCCCTCTATAGGGGTCCTGTTGCCTGCAGCCCCCCCAACTCCGCTCTCCCCTCTCCCAGGTGTCCCCCCCACCCAGCTGCAGCGTTTCGGCCGCCTGGGCCGCATCGACGTGGCCGCGCTCAGGGAGCCGCTGGCTTTCCTGCTTCCACCGGCACCAAGCGAGGAGGAGCCAGCCCAGGAGACCACCCTGTGCCCGGAGGGGGAAATCGCGACCGTGCCCACCGAGCCCCCGGAGAGTCCCCCCGAGGGGGCTGTGCTGCCAGGTGACCCAGTGGCCACGGGGTAGCCGGAGAGCGGCGCGGTCGGGCCGTGTCTCCTTGTGGCGGGGACCTGTCCCCCAGCCCAGCCCGTTCCCTGCCCGCGGCACCCCTATGCATGGGGCACACCCCCCCCGCACCGAGCACACCCTCCCCGTTTCCTGTGTGCACCGGGGCCGCCAGGGGGCGCTGTTCCGCCACTGGTGCGCGCGCACCCGGTGCTCGATGGCGGCGGCGCTGGGACGGGCGGTGGGACGGGCCCGCCCGGCCCTCCCGGTTCCCCCGTGCCGCGGGTGCGGGGACGGGGACGCGGCGGGCTGGGCCCGGCGGGAGCGCTCGTACTGGCGGGCGCTGCGGCGGCGGGTGCTGGGCCCGCCCGTGCCGCCCTTCGCCGCGCCGGTGCAGGTGGGAGCCCCGGTGCTGCGCGGCGCCGCCGCCGCCGTGGCCCCGGAGCAGCTGGGCGGCCCCGAGCTGCGGCGGCTGGCGGCGGCGCTGGCGGCGGGGCTGCGGGGTCGGCCGTGCCTGGGGCTGAGCGCCCCGCAGCTCGGGGTGCCGCTGCGGGTGTTCGCCGCCGAGCTGCCGCCCGACCGCTGCGCGCAGTACCCGGCGGCGCTGCGCCGCGCACACCGCATCGAGCCCTTCCCGCTCCGCCTGCTCGTCAACCCCGCGCTCCGTGTCCTCGACACCCGCCTCGTCACCGCCCCCGAGGGCTGCGCCAGCATCCACGGCTTCTCCGCCTACGTCCCGCGGCACTGGGCTGTCCACGTCTCCGGTACGGACCGACCCTCCCTGCACCGGGGTACTGCCCTGCCCTGTCCTGGGTGGGACATCTGCCACTCCCACCCACCACGGGCCCCCATTCTATCACATGTCCCCCCACACTCTCCCAGGTCCCCCTTTGTCCTATGGATCCCCCATGGGGATATACTCCACTCTCACATGGTCCCCCCATTCCCACACAATCTCCCCATTCTCTCATGGGTCCCTCCAATTTCACACAAGTCCCCTACTCTCACACGGGTCCCCCTTTTTGGCCCCCCAGTCAACCCCCCCAGTCCCATCAGCTCCCCAATAAGTTCCCCCGGCAGCAGGTGTGGACGAGCTCGGGGTGCCGGTGAGCTGGGAGGCGATAGGCTGGGCTGCCCGCATCATCCAGCACGAGATGGACCACCTGGACGGGATCCTCTACATCGACCGCATGGACCCCCGCACCTTCACCAACGTGGGCTGGATGGAGTTCATGGACTGACCCTGCTGTGCCCACCCCCAGCTGGCCCCTGTGTGCCCGGGGCCCCTCCGTGCAGTGGACCCTCTCTAACCCTGGAGAAAGAACCATCACGGAGCCACAGCCCAGGGGCTCCCACTCAGGTTTATTGCAGCCAATACAGACCTGTGGTCTCAGTGTGGCTCTGGCCCTTCCTGCCCACCAGCACCCTAGGCTCATGGTGGGGGGCAACTGGGGGTCCAGCCCATGCTCCCCTGGGCACTGGAAATCACTTCATGGGTCTAGGAAGAGCCTGCTGCCATGGCCGTGCTGGGGAAAGGTGAGGGAATCTCTCCCTCTGGGGCTTCTTTGGGGCACATGGGCACAGCATAAGGGGCACCTGGGTGGGGCTAGGGGGTCAGTGGGGCTGAGGGGAGCCCCTGGGGACATGGGTGGCTGGGTGGGTGTTATTGGCTGGTGGGCTGCTCCAAACAGCCCCTGCTGTAGGCACAAATCCCTGTCTGGGATGGCTGGAGCATGGGGAGCCCCACACACCCCTGGGGACAGGCAGAGACCTTGGCCCTGGGGCAGTGCATTTTGGGGGTGGGGGGCTGGGCTGGGCCCCCAGGTGTGGGCAGAGCCTTGGGGAGCATCCGGGTGCTGGCTGAAGCTTTTGGATTGTTTTTATTTTCATATAAACGAGACGAAACCCAAAGCAGCATTAATTTAAAAAATAAAAAAGAGCAAGAAGAAGAGTGGAGCGCAGCCAGAGGGGCACCCAGCTGCCCAGGCCATGCTCAGACCCCCACCCCGTAGTGTGAGCCCCCCGGGCTGTGTCCCCGCGCCTGCTGGGCGCTGCAGTGCGATGGGAGGGAGTGAGCGAAGATGAGTCGGTTTGGCACGCCCGGGGAGGGGGGGCAGAGCAGGGCCCGTGGCCGCCCCAACCCCACACCCCCCCATGCCCCCCTCAACCTTCCTGTCCAAAGTCCTCCGTGAATTTCTTCACCTTGAGGAGATCGTCAGCGTTGACGGTGGGGCGGGTGGTGGCCAGCGAGCGCAGCATGTCCGACTGCAATACAGGTGGAGGGGGCACACAGGTCAGACCAGGGGCATGGGTAGGGACTCCCCTGCCATGGCAGTGGGGCAGCTCTGCCCATGCTGGCACCTTTGCCCCGTGGCAGCAGCACTGGCTCTGCAGGTGGTAGCTGCCTGGAGGACCCAAGGCCCTTTCCTGGTACTCAGCTCTCTTTGGGGAGCTCACTAGGGGGTAGACTGGGGGGCTGTGCCCACTGCCTAGCCCTTGGCCTGGAGGAGGAACAGGGAACTGGTTGGGCCTGAGCCACAGCACTGTTGTGCTAGGCTGGGCAGGTGCCCAGCCCCGCGTTCCAGAGCTGATGCTCACCATGCAGACAATGGGCTCCATCAGCTTGTCACTGGGCACCTCCATCCAGGTCATCTCGGTGGCTCCAGGGTCACCGGGCGAGCACGGCGTCAGGAGATCATCCACGATGACGCCGGGGGTGGTGCGGGACGGGCCACGGACCTGCACAGAGCCACAGGCAGCTGGGACAGTGCTCAGGGCAGGACAGCAGCCGTGGGGCCCACCCCACCCTGGGGACCCCCCCTGAGCAGAGCAGCCCTGCTCACCTTCTTGAAGTGTGTGGCCGACTGCACCTTGCGCACAGGCTGCATGAGGGCGTCCCGCACAATGATGCTGATGTCGGCCCCTGAGTAGCCGTCGGTCTTGCGGGCGAGCTCCAGGATGTCAGCATCCTTCAGGGAGTGCGGGGTGTTGCCCAGGTGCAGCCGGAACATCTGGGCCCGCGCTGCTTCCTCGGGCAGCGGGATGTAGATTCGCTTCTCAAACCTGGGGGGGGAAGGGGTGAGCCCCACTGTGAGCCCGTGCCAGCCCTGCCGGGAGCTCGGGGGCTGGGAGCTGCATGTCCTGCTCACCTTCTCCTGATGGCTGAGTCCAGCACCCAGGGGATGTTGGTGGCACCCAGCACCAGGATCCCATCGCTGCTGTTCCCCACACCTGCAGGCAGACGGCTCAGACTAATCCCCAGGGGTTCTCAATCCCCAGCTTCTGCTAGCCCCATCTTGCTACCCCCACCACCCTCCCAGGACCCCCATCCCAGGACTCCACCCACCCTGCATCTGCACCAGGAACTCGGTCTTGATGCGCCGGGCTGCCTCGCTCTCGTTCTCATTGCGGGAGCCGCACAGTGAGTCCACCTCGTCAATGAAGATGATGGAGGGCTTGTGCTGCCTTGCCAGCTCAAACAGGTTCTTCACCAGCCTGGGAACAAAGCAGGGGATGGGTCCCCACTCAGGGACCCTCCCCAGCATCCAGCACCCATGGCAGCCCTGGGGTGAGGAGCCCCATTTTCCTCCTGCCCCAAAAACCCTGCACTGGCAGTAAGGCACAGCCCCTCAAGGGGCTCTGCTCTCCCCTGAGAACCTGCTCAGGATTAAAAGTAAGTATAAATATAGGATATTAGAAATTATTGTGTAGAGCTAAGTTTAATTGTAACTTGGTCACAGCTTGGCAGGGGTGGCCCCTGCTCAATGTTTCGTGTAGGTGAACTGTACATGAACTCTAAGCATGGATGGCTGAGCAGGGGAGGAAACAGACAGATGGGAAACTTTCAGATATGGCTGAGACCCTGGAGGGCCCCAAGACAGCCCCAGGCTAGAGGATGAGAATGGAGAAAGAGTCCAATGAGGTCTTAGAAGACCCCAGCCCACAAATCACCATTGGACCAAGAGGTGTGTGAAGATGGGGGGCACAGGCTGTGAGGGGATAGAGGCCCCAGGACTGCTTTGTTCAGAGTTTGCCTCTGGAGGAACCAGCTCCCAACACTTCTTAAACAGCCCCATTACTGGGGTTCACTGATGCTGGTGGTTCCTGCCCCAGCCCAGACCAGCCTGGAGCCAGCCTCAGCCCCACATCCCTGCTGCCAACTTACTTCTCACTCTCCCCCAGCCACTTGGACATCAGGTCAGAGGATGACACGGAGAAGAAGGTGGAGTTGTTGGCCTCGGTGGCCACAGCCTTGGCCAGGTAGGACTTGCCAGTGCCGGGCGGCCCAAAGAGCAGGATCCCGCGCCAGGGCGTGCGCTTCCCTGTGGCAGAGCCTGGCCTCAGGACACCCCGTCCCCGCACCTGGATCCACACTGGGATCACCCGGGGGGGAAGAGGGGATGTCAGCTCCTGCACAGCCCCTCCCCATTGCCACAGCCTCACCTGTGAACAGGTGTGGGAACTTGATGGGCAGGATCACAGCCTCCTTCAGGGCTTCCTTGGCTCCCTCCAGTCCGGCCACGTCACTCCACCGCACGTTGGGCTTCTCCATCATGATGGCACCTGTGAGGGGGCAGCTCTGCTCACACAGGCACCTAGAGCTGGCAGAGCCAGAGGCCCTGCCCCTCCCCACACCTCCCCTGGGCACAGCAACCAATTTGGGGGTGGCCAGACTGCAGCAACACACTCCTGGAACACAGTCCCACACCTGCTCTCCTTCCCACAGCCACCCCTGTGGTGGCCATCAGGGATTCCCTCCTCAACCCCAGCAGGTTGAGCCCAGTGTGGCCCCTCACCCATCAGCTGCTCCTGCAGCTTCTTCTTCTCGGGGTTCTCGCCCTCGCTGTCACTGTCACTCCTGGGGACAAGGGACAAGGATCAGGAGTGGGACGGGCCCTGGTGTGGCAGCAGGGCCCTGCCAGCTCCGTGGCCGCGCAGGGGGTCCCTCACCCCCCAGCCCCTCACGCACCCCTTGTTGTCATTCTGGGCCTCCTTGACCGGCCTCTTTCCGTGCTTGTCCTTGCTGCGAAGGTACTCCTTCAGCTTCTCCGCCCGGTCCAGGTACTGCACACACTTAGCTCGGATGCTCTCCTTGGCCTTGTCACTGTGAGCCTCATCTGCAGGGACCCCCAGGCGTCACCGTGAGCCCCCGGAGCCCCTCGAGCACCGGCGTCCCCGGAGCCCCCCGCCCCCGCGGCCGGTCTCACATTTGATGGCGTGCAGGAAGTATTCCACGGCGTGCTGGTACAGCCGCAGCGCCTCCTCGTAGTTCTTGGCCTTGTCCTCCTCGGTGGCTTTGGTGACCAGGTCGATGGCTTTCTGCGGGGGGGCAGCGCCGTGAGCACCGGGGGCGGGCCGGGGAGCCCCTCCCCACCGCCGGCACTGGGCCGGGACCGCCCGCACCCGGGCCCTTCCGCAGCGCCTCGCACCCTTCCCGCCGCGCCGGCACCGGCTCTCGGTAGGACGAGGCAGCTCCGGCAGGGCCGGGGACCGGGGCCGGGTGAGGCCTATCCCCGGCCGGCACGGCGCCGGGCCCGGTGCGGCCCGTCAGCCGTGGCGTGCAGAGGCCCGGCGCGGGGACGCGCGGGGGCGGCGCGGGCGGAGTCCCGTGGCCGGTCGGTACCTGCAGGGTGGACGTTGTCATCGCATCGCCCGGTGCGGCCGCTCCGGCGGCTCCGGGACGGCGGCGGCGGCAGCGGCGGCACCGACTGCGCCTGCGCCCCCTGGCGGCCCCGCCCTGCCCCGCGCCCCCTGGCGGCCCCGCCCGGCACTGCGCCCCCTGCCGGCCCCGCCCACCACGGGGCGTGGTACCGCATAACCACGCCCACCTGACATGTGACTCACCCCTGTTGGGGCGTGGTCTCGTGTAGGCCCGCCCACCGAGCACCCGCGTGCGCGCGCATCCGCCCTCAAAACCGGTGTGAGGGTTTGGAGGTGTGTTGTGGGGGTGTGCGTTCGATCGTGCGTCTTCATGTATGCATGTGTATGTGTTCGTGTGTGTCTGGGTTCACGTGTGCACATGCATGTTCGTGTGTGTGTGTACCCATAGACACAGACACACACACCTGGACACACACACACACACCCTGCACGTGTGTGCACTCACGGACACCCCCCAAAACTTTGTGTGTGTGTGTGTGTACTCACAGACATACACACACACAAACACACACAGACACCTGGACATTCACACACACTCTCCCCATGTATGAGCACCCACAGATGCACCCACAAACACCCCTATCCCAAACACTCAGAGTGTGTGTGGACATGTTTACACCCATGTACACACCCCTACACATGGACTCTGTGTGTGCTCATGTGTGTGTGTGTACATACCCACCATGCAGTTGCACCCATGTAACCCCCCCTCTGTGTCCCCCATGTGCACAA